GATATATAGGATATATATTGTAGTCTGCCGATATAGAACACAACACTGATGATATTGTAGTCTGCCAATAAGAAGGATATATAGGACCGAACACAACCCTTATGATATTGTAGTCTGCCAATACAAGAGAATATAGGACCGAACACAACACTGATGATATTGTAGTCTGCCAATAAGAAGGATATATAGGACCGAACACAACCCTGATGATATTATATTCTGCCAATACAAGAAAATATAGGACCGAACACAACCCTGATGATATTGTAGTCTGCCAATAAGAAGGATATATAGGACCGAACACAACCCTTATGATATTGTAGTCTGCCAATACAAGAAAATATAGGACCGAACACAACACTGATGATATTGTAGTCTGCCAATAAGAAGGATATATAGGACCGAACACAACCCTGATGGTATTGTAGTCTGCCAATAACAAGAATATACAGGACCGAACACAACCCTGATGATATTGTAGTCTGCCAATAAGAAGGATATATAGGACCGAACACAACCCTGATGATATTGTAGTCTGCCAATAAGAAGGATATATAGCCCCGAACACAACCCTAATGATATTGTAGTCTGCCAATAAGAAGGATATATAGGACCGAACACAACACTGAAGATATTGTAGTCTGCCAATAAGAAGGATATATTGGACCGAACACAACCCTGATGATATTGTAGTCTGCCAATAAGAAGGATATATAGGACCGAATACAACCCTTATGATATTGTAGTCTGCCAATACAAGAAAATATATGACGTCTGCCAATAAGAAGGATATATAGGACCGAACACAACCCTGATGGTATTGAAATCTTCCAATAACAAGTATATACAGTATCGAACACAACCCTGATGATATTGTAGTCTGCCAATAAGAAGGATATATCGGACCGAATACAACCCTGATGATATTGTAGTCTGCCAATAAGAAGGATATATAGGACCGAACAAATCCCTGATAGTATTGTAATCTGCCAATAACAAGAATATACACGAACGAACACAACCCTGATGATATTGTAGTCTGCCAATAAGAAGGATATATAGGACCGAACACAACCCTGATGGTATTGAAATCTGCCAATAACAAGAACATATATGACCGAACACAACACTGACGGTATTGTAGTCTGCAAATAAGAAGGATATATAGGACCGAACACAACCCTGATGATATTGTAGTCTGCCAATAAGAAGGATATATATGACCGAACACAACACTGATGGGATTGTAGTCTGCCAATAAGAAGGATATATAGGACCGAACACAACCCTGATGGTATTGAAATCTGCCAATAACAAGAATATACAGGACCGAACACAACCCTGATGATATTGCAGTCTGCTAATACAAGAAAATATAGGACCGAACACAACACTGATGGTATTGTAATCTGCCAATAAGAAGGATATATAGGACTGAACACAACCCTGATGGTATATTGTAGATCTGCCAACACAAAGAAGGCCAATATATAGGACCGAACACAACCCTGATATATTGCCAATAGAAGGATATATCTGCCAATACAACCCTGAATATACAGGACACAACACAACCCTGATCCTATAGTAGTCTGACAATAACAATTATAGATAGGACCAAACACAACCCTGATGATATTATAGTCTGACGAGAACAAGGATTTAAAGTACACAACACAACCCTGATGATATTGTAGTCTGCCAATAAGAAGGATATATATAGAACACAAATGATACAACAATAAGAAAGAAATATATAGGACCGAACACAACCCTGATGATATTGTATTCTGCCAATACAAGAAAATATAGGACCGAACACAACACTGATGATATTGTAGTCTGCCAATAAGAAGGATATATAGGACCGAATACAACCCTGATGGTTTCTAGTCGGCCAATACAAGAAAATATAGGACCGAACACAACCCTGATGATATTATATTCTGCCAATACAAGAAAATATAGGACCGAACACAACCCTGATGATATTGTAGTCTGCCAATAAGAAGGATATATAGGACCGAACACAACCCTGATGATATTGTAGTCTGCCAATAAGAAGGATATATAGGACCGAACACAACCCTGATGATATTGTAGTCTGTCAATAAGAAGGATATATATGACCGAACACAACACTGATGGGATTGTAGTCTGCCAATAAGAAGGATATATAGGACCGAACACAACACTGAAGATATTGTAGTCTGCCAATAAGAAGGATATATAGATAGGAACACAACCCTGATGATACCGAACACAACCTGATGATATTGTAATCTGCCAATAACAAGAATATACACGAACGAACAAAACCCTGATGATATTGTAGTCTGCCAATCCAAGAATATATAGACCCGAACACAACACTGATGATATTGTAGTCTGCCAATAAGAAGGATATATAGGACCGAACACAACCCTTATGATATTGTAGTCTGCCAATAAGAAGGATATATAGGACCGAATACAACCCTGACGATATTGAAATCTGCCAATAACAAGAATTAACAGGACCGAACACAACCCTGATGATATTGTAGTCTGCCAATAACAAGAACATATAGGACCGAACACAACACTGATGGTATTTTAGTCTGCCAATAAGAAGGATAATGGGACCGAAAACAACCCTGACGGTATTGTAGTATAGCGATAACAAGAATATATAGGACCGAACACAACCCTTATGATATTGTAGTCTGCCAATACAAGAAAATATATGACGGAACACAACCCTGATGGTATTGAAATCTGCCAATAAGAAGAATATACAGAACCGAACACAACCCTGATAATATTGTAGTCTGCCAATAACAAGAACATATATAACCGAAAACAACACTGATGGTCTTGCAGTCTGCCAATAAGAAGGAATTATAGAAAATATAGGACCGAACACAACTCTGATGATATTGTAGTCTGCCAATAAGAAGGATATCTAGGACCGAACACAACCCTGATGGTATTGTAGTCTGCCAATAACAAGGATATATAGGACCGAATACAACCCTGATGATATTGTAGTCTGCCAATAAGAAGGATATATAGGACCGAACACAACCCTGATGATATTGTAGTCTGCCAATAAGAAGGATATATAGGACCGAAAACAACCCTGATGATATTGTAGTCTGCCAATAACAAGATAAATATATAGAAAATATGACCGAACACAACCTGATGATATTGTAGTCTGCCAATAAGAAGGATATATAGGACCGAATACAACCCTTATGATATTGTAGTCTGCCAATAAAAGAAAATATAGGACCAAACACAACTCTGATGATAATGTAGTCTACCAATAAGAAGGATATATAGGACCGAACACAACACTGATGGTATTGTAGTCTGCCAATAAGAAGGATATATAGGACCGAACACAACCCTGATGATATTGTAGTCTGCCAATAAGAAGGATATATAGGACCGAACACAACCCTGATGATATTGTAGTCTGCCAATAACAAGAATATACAGGACCGAACACAACCCTGATAATATTGTAGTCTGCCAATAAGAAGGATATATAGGACCGAACACAACTCTGATGATATTGTAGTCTGCCAATAAGAGAAGGATATATAGGACCGAACACAACCCTGATGATATTGTAGTCTGCCAACAAGAATTGTAGTCTGCCAATAAGAAGGATATATAGGACCGAACACAACCCTGATGATATTGTAGTCTGCCAATAAGAAGGATATATAGGACCGAACACAACCCTGATGATATTGTAGTCTGCCAATAAGAAGGATATATAGGACCGAATACAACCCTGATGATATTGTAGTCTGCCAATAATAAGGATTTATAGGACCGAACACAACACTGAAGATATTGTAGTCTGCCAATAAGAAGGATATATAGGACCGAATACAACCCTGATGATATTGTATTCTGCCAATGCAAGAAAATATTGGACCGAACACAACCCTGATGATATTGTAGTCTGCCAATAAGAAGGATATATAGGACCGAATACAACCCTGATGATATTGTAGTCTGCCAATACAAGAAAATATAGGACCGAACACAACACTGATGATATTGTAGTCTGCCAATAAGAAGGATATATAGGACCGAATACAACCCTGATGATATTGTAGTCTGCCAATACAAGAAAATATAGGACCGAACACAACCCTGATGATATTGTAGTCTGCCAATAAGAAGGATATATAGGACCGAACACAACCCTGATGATATTGTAGTCTGCCAATAAGAAGGATATATAGGACCGAATACAACCCTGATGATATTGTAGTCTGCCAATAAGAAGGATATATAGGACCGAACACAACCCTGATGATATTGTATTCTGCCAATACAAGAAAATATAGGACCGAACACAACCCTGATGATATTGTAGTCTGCCAATAAGAAGGATATATAGGACCGAACACAACCCTGATGATATTGTAGTCTGCCAATAAGAAGGATATATAGGACCGAATACAACCCTTATGATATTGTAGTCTGCCAATAAAAGAAAATATAGGACCGAACACAACTCTGATGATATTGTTGTCTGCCAATCAGAAGGATATATAGGACCGAACACAACCCTGATGGTATTGTAGTCTGCCAATAATAAGGATATATAGGACCGGACAAAATCCTAATGGTAACACAAACACAATCTGCTGATATCAAGAATATTTGTAGTATACACTGGAAAGTTGCATTGGAATATATGTCGCATTTCTTATATCACATTTATATGACCTGTTTCGTTATATAAATAGCATTATGGTACATTTGATTAATCGATGAATTTTAGGTAAGAGTAATATACTTATGAAACATTACACAAACCCTCACCAAGGTGAACCTATACACTAAGTATCAAATTCTTGTGAACTGACAGACACAACGCAAAGTTTCCAGTAGAATAGATAACCAAAGCTCTAATAAATCTGATATGCCAATGTTAATGTTTAAAACAGTTAACTAAACGTTTAAACTAATTTCCGTGTCTTTATTCCTACCTTCTGACTGTTCACATGTCGTCTCAAAGTTCTCCACTGTACACTGGAAACTTTCAGTGCACAAGGTGTTCACCTAGGAAAAAATAAGAAAAATAACTTGCATTAAAGAACAGGTTTTGTCGTCACTACTTAAACGTCAGCGTTACCATGGCGACAAATCTAAATGCAAATAAAGTCTTAACACAGAAAATGTTTTGTCGGCGTTACCTTGACGACAAATCTAATGAAACATAAAGTCTTACTACAGAATATGTTTTGTCGGCGTTACCTTGACGACAAATCTAATGAAACATAAAGTCTTAAAACAGAACATTTTTGTCGGCGTGACCTTAATGACAAATCTAATGGAATATAAAGTCTTACCACAGAACATGTTTTGTCGGCGTTACCTTGACGACTAGCCTTATTGAAAATAAAGTCTTACCAAACAACATGTTTTGTTACCTTCTCTTTGACATTTCTCTCGAACGTCAACTGTATTTCGTTGAGGATGTTGTGGTCGGTACACGGCACACTAGCCAGGTACGTAATGGATGCTGGCTGTGTAATGGCATCAGACGCTGACTTGGCTATCAACATGAAATACACGTCGTCTTTACCGAGGCTTTTGAGTGTTACAATGTACAGACGAAAATGTGTCTTAATGTGGACAAAATTATTTGATTATACTGACTATCTTGTGGCGGAAAAAGAAATACCATTAAAGAACAACATATAGTTGAAGGTATTTGTAATATGCTCTCAAAATATGACTACATTACAATCATTGTAAAAATATAAATTTGATCGTATAAAATTAAGAATTTTATAGATGAAAACAAAATCTTTGATTGACGTTATTAAGTACAGATTCATTCTGTGTATATGAATAACTAACCAGAACAGTCTGGGATCGGTAACTTGTCCATTGGTCTCCATATGTTGTCGTACGCACAGAAATACTCCTTAGCTGGTTCTATGGCAAACGCGTACCCTTCATTACACGTGACATGGCAGTACACACCCTCTTCTTCTTCTCTACACTCCCTAGTTCCACTTAGTGGGGCGTCTGGGTACTGACAGGGGTGTGCTGGGAAGGCAAATCGAATTTCACACCATTATAGTGGTTAATTATATATTAACCAGAGTGTCAGTGAAACTGATGAATGCTCCCCGAAAAGACTATTGTACACAAAACTTATTTATCTACTTTTGTAAATACGAAGTTGCAGACCCTGTTTACTGCACACTCTCATCGTATGACCAATGTAAACACAAAGTTTCAATAACTCCTAAATTATGCAAAAGAGTGACATGGTTCTTGTATACTGCACTATTCTTTATCAAGATCTATCTACTTATGAAGTTTCATGTTGATACCTCTTATAGTTTTTTTTTGAGATATGCACCAAACAAAAATATGATGGACGAATAGACAAAGAAACGACTACATGCTCATTCTTCGAGGAGCATAATAAGATGTATTTTAGCGGTAAATGCAAATGCTGAATGATCTACACAAATACAATTATGTCTACAATTGAGACAACTTCGTAATATAGGCTGCTGATGTAAAAGCATTCTTGGCAACCATCGACTGTCAAACTTATCGCTATACTGACAGACTGAACTGACAGAGTGAACGAAGGGCAGTATCTGGGAGATAAGAATGATGAAACTGTACTCACGTATTACAGATATATCCACATTACATGTACTGTTGTTTCCACTCTCATCAAAGGCAGTGTATCGAACAGATGTTATTCCCTGTGGAAACAAACCCGGTTCATGTGACCTTTCAATTCTGACCTTCTCACCGGAGTTGTCACTAAACTGTGGTTCATCCCAAGTTATATTTGCATATCGCTCCGCAGATATAAATGGAAGAGGTGAGTAACATTGATCAATGGTTGGAGGAGTCACATCTGCAACAAGTGTCAAAGTCAGGGTTCAAAACAGTGATAACCAGGTTGTATTCGAGAGTTTTACTGCTTGTATCTTTTAATGCTTCCTTCATAACAAATATTTGATTATACAAGTGCTTAGATAATCATTCGATCATCAGCTGTAACTCCGCCTATTTAGGATTTTCAGGAAAATTTTGTTTGATATGGCATGGTGACCTTGACCCGTATTTCAAGAATGAAAAAGTTTCGTACATTTGAAGCGGGAATCCTATATAAGTATTTACCTCTGATTATGACACTAAAATGACACTTTGCCAGGTTGCCCTGGTGATCCTCTGCAATGTATTTGACTGCTGTCAGACCGATTGGGAACCGTTTGGGAGGCTGGACGGCGGGCACCACCTTAACCGAAGGTCGATAGCCGGAATTATCCAGGGCTAGTGGCACGATCCAGTCTACTTCAGCACTGTCTTCAGTGTCATCAGCCACAACTTCAATATCGAAAGGACAGTGTAGAAGAGGTGCCTCCGTATCTACAATGACAGAAATAGATGGTGTTGTTAGTCATAAATCTAAAATATCAAAAAAGAACTACTGGAATACTTATGGTGGAATATGTTGTACATGGACAGTTGTATAGGTGTAATGATAGACAACCCTACCTTCACATCTACTCATTTCTCCATCCATAGCCGGGGCCCACATCCCGTCTGGTGTACACTGCTTCCGGCTAGGCCCGATAAGACTATAGCCTGCATAGCAAGATATTTGGCAAGTGGTCCCGAAGGAAACTTCTCCAAGATTACACATGGCAGGAAACACATTTCCATCACGAACAGAAGGAAGGGGTTGGCATGTTATTTCTGAAATGTTCACAATATGTCTCAATGGTGTCAAACAATAATTTATAGCATTGGATATGACAAGACTAGGGAGCATGTGGTATGGGATCCATGAAATATTGTCGTTTAAACTGGTTTCAATCTGCTGAGACAATATAGGACCTGCTGTTTTCCAATATTCTACCGGCGGTTTCTGCGAGGTAATAATGTCTTGATTCACATATCAAAGAATGAGGTACGTTGGCTCAAGATCAACATCACTGCAATCGTGCAAAAATAAAAAGTTTTCAAAAACTCATACAAACCTTGTTTTCTTGTTTTACATTCACTTGTTACTTACCTCGACACCTAGTCGGGATACCGGTCCACAGTGCGTTCGCAAGGCACTGACGTTTACGAGATCCTACCAACTTATAGCCAGTATCACAGGTGAAGCGGCACATGGTGGAAAATGTGAAATCGTCATTACTACAAATCATATTACCGTTCTTAGGTCTGGGCAGGGCGGGACAGGTCTTCACTGTGGAAAACGAAGCGACATATCGGGTGAATATTTATATCGAACCATGTGAATCTGAACAAAGAATTACGACAAGATCACATATTTGCGACCCTTTTATTGAGGAACAAATTAAGACAGTAAATAGCATTACTTATGCATTTTGTTGGCGTGCCTGACCAGCCTCCTTCCTCCTGGCAGATTCGCAAACTGCTTCCACGCAACTCGTACCCGGGTTTACACTTCATCCCACATGCAGCATTGAAGACATTGTTACACTTGTCGTTTACAAAGTAGCCATGTTTGGGCGGGGTCATCTGAGGACAGGTCAACGCTAATAACACAAAGGAGAATGTAGGACAGTTAACACACAGGGTCACAGTATAGCAGATGCTTTATTGAAACAATAGGTACTGGGAAACATTCAACAGATACAGACCTGCGCCTAATATCATGCGATGGGTTAAATTAACTGAAATCATGTAGAGATAATTTTAAAAAACCGTTGTATCGTTGTATAATAACCATTTCTATGCAATAGTTTGAACATTCATATTGAACAAACAAGATGCCCAATGGGTCTGTCGCACTCATTAATTACATAGAATGTACATATAAGCAGTATCATCAGTCGAATTCATCATCTGGTTTGATTGTTTATAAAGACTGTTAAAATAATTGAAACTGTTTAAGAATACTCATACCGGAACATCCGGTTTCGTTGAAGCTCCTAAACCCTATTTTGCAGAAACACTGTGATGATGATGTAGCACCTGGCTCTGTTGTATGGTTGATGTCTGGACATGCAGTACAGGAAGTGACATCACCAGGTCCTCTACTTTCCTTGTAAGTTCCCGGCGGGCAGGCTATATGAAGTAGACAGCAACATTTGAAGAATATCGTTTTATATATGTCTCCTTAAGTGTGGACTGATTCTAAAATTAGTATAACCGGTACATTCTTTCGTAATGCATGATCGCTTTTCAACAATGTTATCTTCGAATATTTATTTACGTTAAAAAGCAAAGTTGCCTTAGAATCAGTTAAATTTCCGTTCCAATATTGATGTAACTTCCATGCTGAATGCACTTGAATATGACTGATTTCAGATTGAATAAGATCAAAGCTAGTGAACATTAGTCTAGTTCTATTGTTTTATATTCACTACTGTTGGTCCGAACGGCGGTGCACTTGAGGTTCAACTGAGGAAGAATTCGGGACCCACGTGTCGGATACACAGTCCCCGTACAATACATTCACTTCGATGAATCAATTTAATATCAAGCAGAAATCAGGTTTTGCGTTAAAATATAATTACTTTGTATTGCAATTATGGTCATATTCACACCCCTTAGACTAAAATTAAAGTTTTTTCTAAGCTTTCATATAGGAGTCTCGATGTCTTGTTTGGAATGACTCTCCTGATAAAAAGGGACACATTATTAGCTGAAACAAAGTTGTGTACAAGAAGTTTACTGGACAGTCTACAAATAATACTTTATTCACAACTTTTTCTATCCTAAAGTTATTGGTATCAAAAATATGTTACAGCGTGTTTAACTTAGAAATGATACCCCAAAAGTCAAACAATCCGTAGCTTCACCAGGGTACAATGAGTACTTACGGAAACACTCCCCTGGGAGTCCGGTGCCATAGTGGCCATTCTGACAGACGCACAGGAACTGACCCACCTGAGTTCCACACCCGCACGTTGCTTGAGGGTCACAGCATGTGCTTATTCCATGACATAAATGGGAACAGCGGTCCATTGGCTGTTCCATGAAGGTCCCCATACTGAGATCTACAGAAAATTTTCTCAAAGATTACAAAATTGTTTCACTTTATGCACTAAGTATTAATTTTGAGGAGTTTACAACATATTCTTGAATAAGCGTTTCTTCGTGTCTTTTAGCTATCTTAATAAATCAAAGTAAGTTGTTTGTAGTATGAATATCATTCACATGAGGGACGATCATATGTCGACCATATTACTTCTGGAAATCATTTTGAAAACTGACCTTCGTGTAATGCTCGGCGTGCTAAGGACTCAAACTCCTCAAACGTGTCCAAGATGTAACAGCTTTCATTTTTTGGTTCCGAGGCCATGTCATACAGTTCCTGGACATGTCCATTTCTAATTCCAAATGTGAAAATTTTTACTCCGTGTTTACGTAAAAAGCGAGCTTGGGGTCTGGGATCGCCGCCATTGGAGAAACCGTCAGTGATGAGGAAGACAGCTTTTTTAGAATCGGGGCGGGAGTGACTGAGAATGTCCTGTATACAAAATAATACAAAATATTCATTGAGCAAGAATCAGTGTGTAAGATATACACGACGGCATAGATTATTTTTTGGTTTATTTACATATACATCTTCCTTTGGTGACGTCATATTGCATAAATGACGACATACAGTTATCACAACGTAAACGATGAAACGAAACATCAGTCAATCACAACTCCGCTAAGTCATGTGTGTTATTTCCGTTGATAACATGGTGGCTTGTGATAAAATAGTAGGATCCGTTCACAATGTATATGGCTTTATTTTCATAACAGAGCGATATAGATTATATTGTAATTGTGTATACTGTACAGTCGCCCCCAAGACAAGTCGCCCCCTATTATCTCAAGACAGGTCGCCCCCTACATCAAGACAAGTCGCCCCTGTTATAATTGTAACTGTTTAATAATTTCCGGACCGCGTTCCGGATCCTTTTGTTTGAGTATTAGTCTATGCCGCGCAAAGTATTGTGGGTTATTGAATAAATTGTTTCGAAGTAATGGCGGTCTCCGTGTCATGCTGTCATGTTCATGTTGTAAATACACAACAGCCCCCTTCATCAGAAGAAAAATAATGAATATAAATATAACTATTTTGTTGTTTGATGCTATTTTATTTATTCCAGTTATAAGAATTATGTACTCATATACCACATACATACACATTTACACACACCTTTACATGCACATTATCATTATATCACATAAATGACATCAATCATCAATCAGATATTCAATCATCATATATACACACGTTTACATGCAAATTTATTTTATCATTATATCACATAGATAACATCAATCATTAATCAGATATTCATCAAACATATATACATGAAGTTGGTTTATTTTAAGCACTAACAATAATAAATATAACTTAACAACACAAAATGTCCATCTCCTGATCTCTTCTAAACAAAACAAAATATTTATCTCCTGATGTCTATTAAACAAAAGAATATGTACATTTCTTGATGTCTACAAAACCACACAAAATGTTCATCACCTGATGTCTACTAAACAACAAAGAATGTCCATCTCCTGATATCTACTTAACAACAAAAAATGTCCACCTCCTAATGTTTACTAAACAACTAAAAATGAACATCTCCTGGTTTCTAATAAACAATACAAAATGTACATCTCCTGATGTCTACTAAACAACACAAAATGTACATCTCCTGATGTCTACTAAACACCACAAAATGTCAATCATCTGATGTCTACTAGACAACAGAAAATGTTAACCACCTGATGTCTACTAAACAACAAAAAATATCCATCTCCTGATGTCTACTAAACAACATAAAACGTACAGCTCCTGATGTCTTCTAAACAACTCAAAATGAACCTCTCCTGGTGTCTACTAAACAATACAAAATGTACATCTCCTAATGTCTACAAATAACAAAAAATGTCCAAATCCTTATGTCTACAGAGCAAAACAAAAGTCCATCTCTTAAGGTCTACTAGATAACACAAAATGTCCATCTCCTGATGTCTACTAACATCACAAAATGTACATCTCCTGATGTCTACTAAAACAAAATATGTCCAACTCTTGATGTCTACTGAACAACACAAAATGTACATTTCCTGATGTCTGCTAAGCTGCACAAAATGTCCATCTCCTGATGTCTGCTAAGCTACACAAAATGTCCATCTCCTGATGTCTACTAGACTACACAAAATGTCAATCTCTACTAAAACAAAATATGTCCAACTCTAGATGTCTACTGAACAACACAAACTGTTCATGTCCTGATGTCTTCTAAATAACAAGAAATTCCATCTGCTGATGTCTACTAACAACACAAAATGTCCATCTCCTGATCTCTTCTAAACAAAACAAAATATTTATCTTCTGATGTCTATTAAACATCAGAATATGTACATTTCTTGATGTCTACTAAACCACACAAAATGTCCATCTCCTGATGTCTACTAAACAACACAAAATGCCCAACTCTTTATGTCTTCTGAGCAATACAAAATGTTCATCTCCTGATGTTTACTTACAACACAAAATGAACATATCCTGATATCTACTAAACAACACCAAATGTCCATGTCCTGATGTCCACTAAAAACACAAAATGCCCAACTCTTGATGTCTTCTGAGCAATACAAAATGTTCATCACCTGATGTCTACTAAACAACAAAGAATGTCCATCTCCTGATATCTACTTAACAACACAAAATGTCAATCATCTGATGTCTACTAGACATAAAACATGTTAACCACCTGATGTCTACTAAACAACACAAAATGTCCATCTCCTGATATCTACTTAACAACACAAAATGTCCACCTCCTAATGTTTACTAAACAACTCAAAATGAACATCTGCTGGTGTCTACTAAACAATACAAAATGTACATCTCCTGATGTCTACTAAAACAAAATATGTCCAACTCTTGATGTCTACTGAACAACACAAAATGTACATTTCCTGATGTCTGCTAAGCTGCACAAAATGTCCATCTCCTGATGTCTACTAGACTACACAAAATGTCAATCTCATGATGTCTACTAAAACAAAATATGTCCAACTCTAGATGTCTACTGAACAACACAAACTGTTCATGTCCTGATGTCTTCTAAATAAAACGAAATTCCATCTGCTGATGTCTACTAACAACAGAAAATGTCCATCTCCAGATGTCTACTAAACAACAAGAGATGTTCATCTCATGATGTCTACTGAACAACACAAAATTCCATCTCCTAAGGTCAACTAAACAACACAAAATGTACATCTCCTGATGTATTCTAAACAACACAAAATTCCTGTTCCCAAGGTCTACTAAACAACACAGAATATACATCTCCTGATGTATTCATAACAACACAAAATGTCCAACTAATCATGTCTACTAAACCACACAAGCTTCCATCTCCTGATGTCTACTAAACAACACAAAATGCCGAACTCTTTATGTCTTCTGAGCAATACAAAATGTTCATCACCTGATGCCTACTAACAACAAAAAATGTACATCTCCTGAAGTCTACTAATCAACATAAAATGCCCAACTCTTTATGTCTTCAGAGCAATACAAAATGTTCATCACCTGATGTCTACTAAACAACAAAGAATGTACATCTCCTGATGCCTACTAAACAACACAAACTGTTCATGTCCTGATGTCTTCTAAATAACAAGAAATTCCATCTGCTGATGTCTACTAACAACAAAAAAAGTCCAACTCCTGATGTCTACTAAGCAATAGAAAATGTCCATCTCCTGATGTCTACTAAACAACATAAAATTCCATCTCCTAAGGTCAACTAAACAACACAAAATGTACATCTCCTGATGTATTCTAAACAACACAAAATTCCTGTTCCCAAGGTCTACTAAACAATACAGAATATACAACTCCTGATGTATTCATAACAACACAAAATGTCCATCTCCTGATGTCTGCTAAGCTGCACAAAATGTCCATCTCCTGATGTCTACTAGACTACACAAAATGTCAATCTCATGATGTCTACTAAAACAAAATATGTCCAACTCTAGATGTCTACTGAACAACACAAACTGTTCATGTCCTGATGTCTTCTAAATAAAACGAAATTCCATCTGCTGATGTCTACTAACAACAGAAAATGTCCATCTCCAGATGTCTACTAAACAACAAGAGATGTTCATCTCATGATGTCTACTGAACAACACAAAATTCCATCTCCTAAGGTCAACTAAACAACACAAAATGTACATCTCCTGATGTATTCTAAACAACACAAAATTCCTGTTCCCAAGGTCTACTAAACAACACAGAATATACATCTCCTGATGTATTCATAACAACACAAAATGTCCATCTCCTGATATCTACTTAACAACACAAAATGTCCAGCTCCTAATGTTTACTAAACAACTCAAAATGAACATTTCCAGGTGTCTACTAAACAATACAAAATGTACATCTCTCGATGTCTACTAAAGATAGAAGAATGTCCATCTCCTGATGTCCACTAATCACAAAAAATGTCCAACTCCTTATGTCTATAGAGCAAAACAAAATGTTCATCTCTTGATGTCTACTGAACAACACAAAATGTCCATCTCCTGATGTCTACTAAGCTGCACACATGTCCATCTCCTGATGTCTACTAAGCTACACAAAATGTCCATCTCCTGATGTCTACAAAGCTACACAAAATGTCCATCTCCTACTGTCCACTAACAACACAAACTGTCCATATCCTGAGGTCTACTAAAAACACAAAATGACCAACTCCTTATGTCTACTGAGTAACACAAAATGTTCATCGCCTCATGTCTACTCATGTCTACTAACAACACAACCTGTCAATCTGATGATGTCTTCTAAACAACAAAAAATGTTCATCTCATGATGTCTACTAAACAACAGAAAATTCCATCCACTTAGGCCTACTAAATAACACAAAATGTTCAGTTCCTGATGTCTACTAAGCAACAGAAAATGTCCATCTCCTGATGTCTACTAAACAACAAGAGATGTTCATCTCATGATGTCTACTAAACAACACAAAATTCCATCTCCTAAGGTCAACTAAACAACACAAAATGTACATCTCCTGATGTATTCTAAACAGCACAAATTTCCTGTTCCCAAGGTCTACTAAACAACACAGAATATACATCTCCTGATGTATTCATAACAACACAAAATGTCCAACTAATCATGTGTACTAAACCACACAAGCTTCCATCTCCTGATGTCTACTAAACAACACAAAATGTACATCTCCTGATGTCTAATAAAAACACAAAATGACCAACTTCTTATGTCTACTGAGCAACACAAAATGTTAATCGCCTGATGTCTAGTAACAACACAAAATGAACATCTCTTGAGGTCTACTAAACCACACAAAATTTACATCTCCTAAGGTCTACTAAACAAACAACACAGAATTTACATCTGCTGATGTCTTCAAACAACACAAAATGTACATCTCCTGATGTCTTCTAAACAACAAGAGATGTTCATATCATGATGTCTACTAAACAACACAAAATTCCATCTCCAAAGATCAACTCAACAACACAAATGTACATATCCGGATGTCTTCTAAACAACACAAAATGTCCAACTTATCATGTCTACTA